TAATGATCGCCCTTTTACCGAGAAACAAACAGTAACGTTCTCTTTTTGTCCGAAAAGTGCGCGTAAATACTGAGTGAGTGCCCCCTGGGCATCCCCTAACACTCCTTAAATCTAGTAAATTCAAAATGGCCGCCGTATCGGTAAAAAGGTCTTTGTAACCAAGGGTTAGCGAATTTCGGCTCGCAAAGGGTGTGGATGAGAGAGCCAGTATTTCCTTTGCAACATTTGGATCTACCCTTTATTGATAAAAGATGGCGATAAATTATTGAAACAAGCTAGCAAATCTAAAGCAAACAAGCAATTGAATAAATAACATATTTGTTCTGACTTCTGTACGTTTATTTGCCTTTGATGGGATTTTAAAAAAAAAAGAACAAAAAACGAACAAAAAAGCAAAAATCACAAGTGAATCGAAACTGAACTTTTGAGGACTGCCTTTATGGAATAACTTTGACACTGTTTGTCTTGACTATTGTCTTCCCGCTAAGTGCCTGGAAGCGCTGTTTTAAAGGTAAGGACACACTACTATGGGTCTACTATTGACTAATAGCTAGGAATAAAACAGCTTTTTAGCAAAATAGACTAAAACAACTTTAAAAGCACAACGTTTTGTTGATGATTTAATGTGACTTGAAGAGAAAATCATTTGTTTTGTCCAAGCTGAAATCAAATAGTATTGATATGTAGTTTCGTGAATTAGCAGATTGGATTTGTACCGCAACCTGAACTATTTTATATGTACCGGGATTAAAACAAAGTAAACTAAAAGGACCAAAATATCTAATAGACTTATTGCGGCACCTGCATAAAGCGGGGGATAAAAGGGGTTCTCTGGATGGTATGCCAGCTCGCCTTGTGAGCATACACGTAGTATAGGTACATCTTAGCGGATATGATCTGTGATGGGCCGCAGGCATTGGGGAGGTTTTCAAACTGAACCAGCGAACGCTTGTTAGGAAATTGAGGGTGCTTGGACACCATGAGGTACGGAAGCCTGTTGTGTTGTGTGCTACCTTCCAAGGTGGTATCTTGGGTTACTCCAAGTCTGTACACCATACCTCGGCCAGTGTTGTACGTCCGAAAAGCTTCCGTCCCCTTGGCAACTATCGCCAGCATTATCACGGCTACCACACCAAACATCTTCCCTGTTAAAATTTGAAGTTTCGCGTTAACCCGCTATGAAATTTGTAATCAGAAGGATGCCCAGCCACGTACTGTTTTCTGCAAAATATCTGTTCGGAAAAGCAAATATTGCCTGGAATTTTCTATTACTTGAGAAAGGCTAAAGATTTCTAGTGACCGCGCGTTCCATTTATGAACAATTTTTGAAGTTTATCTAATAAATTTCCTTACGATTTTCTGAAGTTTGATTTTTCACATTTCACTCCCCAGGATAGACTTTTTTCGCAGAAAAAAAGAAAACCTAAAATTGTCGGATTAAAAAATGATCAAAACTGTGGTAGAGAGAGGAATCAGAAAAATTCTCACTTTTATAACACGTTACTGATTTCGCCTAAAATTTTCGGGAAAATAACACTGAAGCCCTTGTAATTTCGAAAAGATTGAAGTTGCCCTAGGATGACCGAACTGATACGAAATTTATAGCATCCCTTAGAATACATTTCTGGAGATTTAAAAGTACTCTGGACAGCCTAAAAAGTGTTTTCAATGATCTATTTAGGTGGGAAGCGTCGTTGGGCACCCTCAACTGAAGGTCAATATGTTATTCGGTTTTGCATGTAGCAAAAGTCATAAGTTGGCCATTTCGAAGTATTGGTGTACGGTAGCTACTGTCGAATTCGGTGCACGATTGGACTGTCTTGGAGAACGATATCGCTTCTTTTTTTAGTCATTCACTACTTTCACATTAACCATAATACACCTTGTTCACCCCACAAATTTTTGCATAAGTATTGTTTTCAAGTTCTTGGGAGGATTGTAAATCCCAAGAGAAATTGGAAACAATGCTTATGCAAAACTCTTGGGGGATAAACAAGGTGTATTATGGGCATGGGAAAGTAGCGAATTACCGACTGGGGTCAAAATTTGTCCCAAAAAACAGTCCCACAGTGGAATTCACTTCGGTTGTTCACCATTCAAACACTTTGCAGAAAATCTGGTTGGAAATTAAATGGCACACGACTTTTTTGAACGTTTCAACGGAAAATTTCCGGGAGCAAAGGAACATCTGAAAAGGTAGTGCTGTTTCTGTAAACGGAATGTTCCAAATTTGCTCTTGATTCCATTCTGCTTCCAGGCATTTCTTCAAACCATCTTTGATACCGCCATTTTCAAGTCTTCCCAGTAGTTTTTCGGTAACTGGAACTGATTGTACAAATAGTAAAGGCAACAAAAGTTCCGGGACGAAATTTAACAGTTCTGAATTTGCTTACTAACGAAGCTGCTAAATAAACCGTGAACCACACGGGGTTTGCCCATGTAAATGGTAAACAACCCACAAACAGAAAAAGATAGCTCTACATCAAGCCAAAAAAATCCA